TGGGGAAGCCACCAGTCACATTATTAAACTGGCTAGACTATGTTTACAGTGTGAAGGTGGACAATTTGAACAACTATTGTGAATATTTTATTGTACCTAGTAATTGTGTGTTAAATAAAAGTAATTTTCCAACAATATTGTGGTTTTTCCACCATTAGCACCCTAAAGGAAGCATTGGCGGACCCATCTTCATAGGACTTTTTCCACTCGAGTTGACCTGAGGAGCACATAGAAAAATGTTGTCACTTACCTCGTGGGACACCCTGCATAGTCTGCCGATTTCGACAAGCCTAAATAAGAAAAATTCGTCAATAAAGGTTAGTGCGTGCAGCTGCAGTACAGCCTGTATTCCCCACTCTGCACCTCTCTGACTTTAGCCTTTCACAGTAGTTTCTGTTGCCACGATGCCACAACAACGTTTTGAGTTCAGTGTCATATTTTGTCAAAGATTAGGCGAGGTATGTCAGTTAGTTTCAGGTATAGTTGTAGTCACTCCCTCAAACATACACATGCAACCTACCCCTGTGTGTCAAAGTTTGTGCGGTAAGCTCAAAGACATTCGTTTTTTAGTTGTGTGTCTCCGTCTCGAAAACTTTGTCGTTACGTATGAGTGCCCTTCCATCATATTTGTCAGAGTGACAACTTACCTGACGTGCAATTCGATTTGTGCTGTTATCAATCTTCAATATAAAATTGTACAATGAACGGATCTGTACTGGAGAGAGCATCAGATGCGCTGAAGATTAGTCAGCGCAGTGTTGCGCCCATGGTACGGAGACTCAATCTGTTTACTTATTTCATATGGCGTTGATGTCGTAACCGCCAAGAACGGAGACTACAACTATAGTAGTTTAGGTATTATATGTCAGTTAGGTGACAGGTTTATTTATCTATTATTTTCAATATATTCCGCTTTTGAATTACTTTTTTGTTATAGAAAATTGATCTTCACATGCTATTTGGATATTAGAGTTTTCAAAATGGTACGATTTTGTTAAAAAATCCATCTGTAGCTCGAGTACACTGCGAAAACGTCACGTACACATCAGAAAAATTAAAAGAGGTGGTGCTTCTATGGAAACAACAGATCACTGGTTAATATATAGGGTGTAAACGTTATGGTAGTCACAACAAGCCAAAAAGTTCATATGACCCATGGTACAAAAGTCAATAGATTTTTGTCTAAATGGGTTTATAGTTTACAACTTTAAGGGCTTTATATCGACCACAATCACCACAATCTTACTAATTTTTATAATCTAATCTAAAACGTTTTTAAATTGGGTAACTAACAAATAAATGCCATTAAGTTTTTCTAAGTTAAGCCAAAATTTGTAGTCAGTAAGTAAATTTCATTAAATTAAATATTCAAAACACACATGACAACAGCGCGTCGGTTTTTCATCACTCTTATCGAACCGGCAGTCGATCGCAAACTGTAAGAGTGGTTAGTACGTTGTTTTGTTTTTGTTCGCGTACGTCGTCGTGTTTATTTTTACAATGTTCTCGAATCAAGAGTTCGCCGACATGTTGTTAATTACGGTAAAGCTCGTCAGAATTCAAATCTTGCAGGTCAAATTTAACGCGACAGATTTCGCCGACGGGTAGGTACACCCAGACAAAAGGACATTTATGCAAGTGTACCAAAGACTTCGAAATACAGGAAGTGTTCAGCCCACTAATATTCGCACTCGTGAAAGACAGGTTACTGTAGAGCAGGTGGAACAAATTTTAAATATCGTGGAAATCAATGAAGGTATTAGCACTCGGGAATTAGGCCGCCGCGTAGAACTATCGCATACGATAGTCCTTAGAATCCTACGGGAAAATTTGCTTTATCCCTACCATGTACAACGAGTGCAGGCCTTGTTACCAGAAGACAATCCTCGCAGAGTAACATTCTGTGGTTTTTGCATTTTTTTTAAAAACATTCTAGCGACAGACGAATCTACTTTTACGCGAGACGGGGTATTAAATTTCCATGGTACTCACACGAGGGCCCAAGAAATTCCTCATACCATTCGAGAAGGTCATTTCCAACAACGTTTTAAAATAAATATTTGGGCAGTTATTCTTAACGATCAGGTAATTGGACCTTTCGAGTTACCCCCAAAGTTGTCAGGAGAGGATATCTCAGCTTTCTAGCCAATAGCCTACCAGAACTTTTGGAACAGACCTTAGACAACATGCCATTACAATGGAGACAGCATTTGTGGTTTCTTCATGACGGGGCACCACTACACATTTTTAGAGGCGTCATTCAGTATTTGAATGAACGTTATCCAAATCGCTGGATCGGTCGAAATACTCCTGACCTTCGAAAATGGCCAGCAAGGTCTCCTGACTTCAATCCGGTGGATTTCTGGTATTGGGGCGAACTTAAAAGGATGGCTTATGGGGCTGGTCCAATAACAACTGAAGCACAACTTCGCGAAAAAAAATTGAATGCGGCTGAAATAATAAATGAAGAACTTCGAGGACCTAGAGTAAGAAGAAACTGGGCTTGTCGTAATGAAGCTTGTGTGGAAAGTGGAGGACGACATTTTGGACACCTTCTTTAAATACAAAAAAGTGCAGTGCGGGTTTTAAAAAGCAAAACAATGTATGTATCAAAATTGTGTTCCCTATTTATAAGTGGATTTTTTTAATACGTTCAATAGACTTTCACACACCAGGTGAATCGCTGAGACAATTTGTTGGATTTCTCGACAGAAAAAGACATAGAGCTGTGTCCCACAAAATTCAAGAATGGTAATACCTACATTATCATGATAGTATGTTATAGGTCTCCCTCAGGTAATATAAAAACTTTCTGTGATAAGCTTAATGAAGTCTTAAGTTATGTATACAAACCTAGGCTTAAGTTAATTTTGTGTGGTGACTTCAACATAGATTTTTACTCACCAAATTCTGAATTAGATAATCTAAAAAACGTACTGAACGAGTTCAACCTGTTTCCGATTATAGGGTGGCCAACGCGCATAGGTGGCACATCAGTCAAAACGATTGACCAAATATATGTAAATTTCTTGGACTTTAGGCAAAACTGTGTAGTTGACAATACCATCTCTGATCATCGAACAGTGCTGTCAGAATTAAGTGTGATCAACCAAACTCATGGGCCACAAGTTTTTGTCGAAAAAAGATCATACAACGATAAAAATATCAACAACTTTATATCCGATATATGTTCTGAAAATTGGACCAGTTTATACAACATGTCTGACATTGAATTAGCGTTCGATACTTTTTCTCAAATTTTCAACCACCATTTTCAAGTTAAGTTTTCGCTGCGTAAACACTTGGTTAAAACGGCCCACAAAGACTGGGTTAATAATGAAGTAAAGGAATCCAGCAAACAACTCAAGGATTCCTATTTATTGTCAAAAATCATCAGATACTAAAGAGACATATCTTCATAAGAAAAAGAATCATCGAAATTTAGTAACTTCAGCAAAGCAACAATATTATCATAATAAAATATTCAAGTCTTCGAATCGTAATAGGGCTGTCTGGAAGGCAGTATCCGAGTTAACAGATAATAAAAAGAGTCAAAGCAGTATAATTTTGGAGGATGCTGGTAACACATTAAGTAATACTCAGGATATAGTCAATAAATTCAATAACTATTTTAAAGATACTCCGTTAAACATTGTAAATAATATAAATCGGGCAAATATTGAAACCGTAGATTCGCGTCCCACTCATTGTCGGCAAATGCTTCTCTATCCAATTAACGATGAAGAGTTTTTCGACTTGATCTCTTCGAAATTGAAAAACAAACATTCCTCCGGACCAGATGGTATTCCGGGATTTCTTGTAAAAAAAGTACTAAAATATATAGTGAAACCATTTGTATTTCTAGTAAATCTCTCCTTTTGCACGGGAAGGTTTCCCCAATCCTTAAAAACTGGGAAGGTAATCCCAGTTCTTAAAAAAGGAGATCCTTCAAAGATTTCCAATTACAGACCAATAACAGTTCCTTTCTGCTTCTCCAAAATCTTTGAGTACTGCTTTCTAGATAGATTGTTGCGATTCCTAGAATCTGAAAATACTTTGTCAATTAACCAACACTGTTTTCGCAACGGAAAATCGACACACACGGCCTTGCTGAGTTTCATTCAGAATATTATAGCATCGATTGAGGCAGGCGAATGTCCTGGATATTTTGTGATCTCAGCAGGGCATTTGACTGTGTCAATCATGAGATACTTCTGGGCAGACTGGTTCAAGTCGGCATTGTTGCGACACACTATAGCTGGATTAACTCCTTTCTATCCGATCGATCACAATATGTTTGTTTACATGAAAACAGCAACAACACTGGGTGATATGCATAAAGGCGAGTGGCTACTTTTGACTCGCATTTTTAAAGTAGCCACTCCATTTGATATGCATAAAAATGTAAGTAGAAGCTCACACTCATAAGTTTCTACTCTTTCCGTGAGGCTGTACTCGCTCCTTGAGTGCCGACTTCAATTTTTATATGCATAAAAGTGAGCGTCCACTCTGACCGCTGAGTGCATACTTAAAGAAATGCGAGATACCTTAGTAGTAGACTCAGCTTTATAAGAAGTGGACGAAATGGCCGAATTTATGCCTACTTATCAGCCTACGAAGGTGTTTAAAGATCGTAGGGAATCAAGGGAAGTAGACTATCGGGCCTTATATCGGTTTAGTAAAGTTAATGTTGAGTGGATAAGTAACCATTTTCTTGGAGAGACAGAAGAATATAGGGGCGGTGCTTTGAGCAATATAGAAAGAATGAGGTTTTTTTACGATATGTGGGTGATCCAGGATTTCAAATCGGCATAGGAGAAGCTATTGGTGTCCATCAATCTACGGCATCCTGAACCGTTTCCAACGTTATAACACGCATTGTGCAGAACTCGAACATTTAGATTAGATTCCCAACCACATGTGAAGATCTACACAATGCTAAAAATGAGTGGCAAGAAAAGTTCAATTTTCCTTCAGCTATTGGTGCTATCGACTGCACCCATATACCTATTATGAACCCCTTTATTCAGGCAGACGAATATGTGAACAGAAAGAACTTTGCTAGTATAAATGTACAAGCAACGTACAATTCAAACGAAGAGTTCACAAGTGTGGATGTTTCTTGGCCAGGATCTGTACACGACTCTCGGATATGGAAGAATTCTGATATATGAAATGGAATAGGGCTAGTGCTGTTTTGTTGGGAGACTCTGGGTATGTTATAGCTCCTTGGCTCATGACTCCTTTTAGGATTGCAGAAACAGCAGAACAAAGATTATACAATCGGCTGTTTACGAGAGAGCGAGTTATAATAGAGAGATGTTTCGGGCAACTAAAACAGCGATTTCCCATTCTACATGAGAAAATACGCGTCGATACAGAAAAAGTGCCCTCCCTTGTCATGAGTTGTTTTATCTTGCATAATGTGGCTAAGCACCTTAATGATGAAGATTTTGCTGTTGATATACCGGGAGATGGCGAACAAGAAGAAATCCATAATCAACATGCTGCTGACTATGCAGATGGAGTGATACGTCAGAGAGGTCAATTTAGAAGAGATGCAATATCAAGAATTACTCATGGCTGTCGGGTCTAAGTAAGTATCTAGCATGATCCAAATTTACAAATTATGTAGATATACGTTGAAGAACGACGTTTAATTACTCATAACAAAATTAATAACACTTTCAAAATGGCAACTTAAGAGAAAGTTCTTAAAATTAATAAAAAATAACATTTATGAAACATGAAGTACTTTTGTCAGTCCTGTCCTAGAAATAGGCTCATGAAAATTGGATTTCCAGTTTCTGCACTTTCATTTAAAGTTGATAAATTTGGATCAGATTCATTAATATTTTTCTTGTGAAGTAGCAGTTCCTTAGCTAGCCGAAACACTTGTATTTGTTCAAGTAAAACGAGACGTTGGAGCTCTGTTATTGATAAATCTCGTGCTTCATCAGTTTCCATTAATCCTCGTTTTCCTTTTTTTTAGAAGGCTCCTTACTGGGTCCGGCTTTCATTCTTCGGTGATTGTTTCTTCTTCAGCACAGGCTGTTGGAGTGTAATCAATGCTTTTTTGTGGGCAACCTGCCACAACAGCATCTAAAATTTAAAATATATGCTATTTATATTTATTGACATGTATACAGGGTGACTTCGAAGTTGAGTCATTTATTTTAACAGTGAGTAGATCTGATCAAAAGAAATGTTTTTTTCCTTTACCATTTTTCTGGTAAAATTAAAGTAACAAAGTTACAGCCCTTTGGAAGTTTGAGTACCGCCCTGTCTCAATAATATCATGTACTCGTGTTTGGCAACAACGGATATAATCCACCTTATCGGTTCATCGCATCGGAAACAAAAAAGCGAAAGAATTTGGAACGATGTTTATTTTATTCAGTTCAGTTATACATACAGTCAGTGTCAGTCGCGTGTGAATAGTGTCTGTTGCGTGGCTCAAACGAAATAAAAAATGGCACATGTTTATGCGGATCGGTTTCCCAATCGAGTGCAACCAACCCCTCGTGCCTTTGTTAATGTAGTACAACGGGCTCGTGAATCAGGTGACTTCAGACCTCACAGGGGACCTCACGATCAAATACAGGTCCGCACTGAAATACTTGTCGGGAGGATACTTTATAAAACAAGGTAAAATTTTTTTTTTATTTTTTTTTTATTTTTACACACATATTTTGGTTTATCTTCCTTCTACAATCATTATCTGAAAATTAATGACTCAACTTCAAAGTCACCCTGTATATATATTATACTCAATCACATCTTATACCTACCTTATACCTTTTCTTTATTTTCTTCAGCCGCCTTACGTCGTTTATTTTTGATTTCCGGGATGTTAGATTTTTCCAACAAAACAGGATACTGTTTAATTATAATATTAACAATACTGTTTGATTTTCAGATGAATGGTCTTCAGAATAGGTTGACATCATGTAAATGAACAAATAACAATCGTCCTAAACACCACCGACACAAACGTTTACCGGTATACAGTAGTAACTGCTCGCAATAGAGAGATTGCCAATTCGACGAGACAACAAAATACAAGTCGGAACTCGAAAACCAGAGTGCCTACTCAAGTATTTCATTAGCACTTGAGTAGCCTCTCCGTTTCCCGACAAATATTTTATGCATATCAAAACCGAGTATGCTCTCCCTAACAGGAGTAGTTACTCGCTACAATATGGAGTCGCTACTTCTGAGAACCCACTCGCCTTTATGCATATCACCCACTATCTCTGAGGTGAAATCTGATGTAACGTACGTAGACATCGGCGTACCTCAGGGATCGATTTTAGGGCCTGTTCTTTTCATTCTTTACATAAATGAATTTGAGCACTCTTTCTCCCAAGCCAATTTTACGCTTTAGGTTTAGCGCACATCATCTTCTCCTGAATGTGGATAAGACGGCAATGATGAGATTTCACAACGTGCACAAACAAATGACTCCGCCTGATCTTCGAGTTAAAGATAATCAACTAAGTGTTCTCAAAGAAACAAAATTCTTGGGCTTGTGGTTGGACGAATGTTTCAATTTCAAGGCCCAGTGTGATCGATTGGTATCCAGGTTGAACTCACAGTCATATGTGTATAAAGTTCTACGAGCCACATTGCCTGGAGACCAGTTAGTAACACTCTATTATGCTGAGGTAGAGTCTAGGCTGAAATATGGTTTGTGCTTCTGGGGAGTATCGACCAATGCACAACATGTATTTTTAAGTCAGAAAAGAATTCTAAGATCTATGGCCGGAGTAAGCTCATTACATAGCTGTAGGGAGCTGTTCCAAAAGTACCAAATTTTAACGTTGCCTTCTCTATTTGTATACGAACTTTCGATATATATGTATCAAAATAAGGATACACAACTACTTAACAAGGATATAAATGCCTTCATAACAAGGCAGAGTGAAAATATGTATGTTCCTTTCGCCAAATACTGTGTCGGTAGTAGATCACCTAGAGTTTTGGGGCCTAAAATATATAATAAACTGCCAGAAGAAATAAAAATCTGCAGTTCACTGCAACATTTTAAAAATAGGTTAAAGGCTTTTTTATTAAATAAATGTTTGTACGCTGTTTCAGAGTTTGTTAATGTGTAGATGGTATGTTTGTTTCATGTTTCTCATATTTGTTTGTTACTTATTTTCTATGTTTGTTATAGATTTTTTATTTTTGACGAATCCTATGCATACTTATGTCTATTGGATAATAAAGGATTACTATTATTATTATTATTATTATTATTATACGTTCAATAGACTTTCACACACCAGGTGAATCGCTGAGACAGTTAGTGGTAAGTCCGTTTTTTTTAATTGTTTGCATTTTACGAGTTCATTATCAAATAATGAAATAATACCTAAGAGCCAAAAATAATAAACTCCATCTTTATTTACTCTGCGTTCCGTCGTAATGGCGTCTGGCATTGCGGCGTTGTCAGATTTTATTTTACTTTAAAGTCGCTTTTCGCTAAAAAAATGCCGTTTTGACCCCCATGTTATATGAAACTTTTTGCTTCTTTTTACCCCTTCTATCACCCATTTAAATAATGACTATCATAACGTTTACACCCTGTAGGAATATGAATAGCTAAATAAAAAACCTTTCGAGGTAATTCCAAAAAATACTAGAATTTTAGGATAGAATTCTGTTTGAGACCCATTGTTGGGGTTGCGCATCATGAATTTATGTTCCTGAAATATCCTGTACAACGTCTTCCATTCCTAGTATGCAGTCTGAATTTAAAGTATCCAACTCTCAAAATTTCCATAATTAAAAGAGAAACAGCCGAAGAACACCGTTAACAGCAGCTACACACAGTACATTGCCGGTTGCATTATTTGCGAGCAAATATTTTCCCGAGTATATCATTAGTTTATTTTAATTATACGGCTGTAACTCCAACTTGACAGATGGTGCCGAGTCGGCTGCCGGTACCCAGATGTTACTCGTCCAAGGCGACATCATTTTAAACTTTAAACCAGAGTAATTTTTGTAATGGACGTCATGTTAAATACGTATAGGAACTCGTGAAGTAAAAAACTCATCCAAACAACCGCAATAAAACAAATGTAGTCAAGTAGACTGACTGGGTAAAAGTACCGAGTACTGGACTGACTTATGCATTCATATAAATCTATTAAACTAAACAAACAAAACACAGCCGACCATAGATAGCTGTTTCGTGCTTTTAGGCTACTCGTCAGCATGGTCTATTCTTGACTCTCATCTCTGGCACAACGACTGTCGTCAATATCCACGTAAGAATGCGCATAGCTGTTATTTGTTGTAACTGTAATGGTACGATTCCACCAAAATAGTGTTCAGCACATTTGTTTACAAACATTTTATGTGAAACTCCAGCATTGAATGTGCTCACTGGTATCGAATTTATCTTCCGTGTCCACCGGCAAAGCAGTGCATAACTTTTGTAAGCGTACAGTGTAGCACATTATTTGTGCACGAACATGTTTACCAAGCAAAGTTCTCACTAACTTCAGTTCTTAATATGGATGGGCGGGAATACGTAGTGCTTTGTGCTGCAGCTTGTGTTTTAATAGGTAGTCTGCTTAAAAAGAAACGAAGAAGAAAACCACGATGTTGGGTGAGGCCTTTTCTGCAGCGATGGAATGAAGAAACGAATAGATTTGTAGAAGAAATAAAAGTAGACCCCTTAAGTGGATTTAAAAATTTTACTCGTATATCGTGTGAAGATTTTGAGTTGCAGGTCAATGCACTTAGTCCTCATATTGCAAAGCAAGACACCAACTACAGAAAATGTGTCCCTGTTTCAATAAGGCTTATTTATAGCTTTTATTGCCCAACAGATAATATTCCATTTATAGGCAAAAATCTTAAATTAAAAATATTACAAAAGCCTAACTTATAAAACTATCTAAGGCGCTCCCGCAGAACACATTTTAGCTCCGAAATAGAACATAAAAATATGTCACAAAACTTACAAATACTATTATAATTCAAACACATAACCCTTTCAGGTGATTTCAAAATCAAATTTGTGTTAGCACGACTGCAAAAGAAAGTAACATTACATCTTGAAACGAATCTTGGCGTTAAAAACTGTAGTTTTGATAACAATATAAAATAACAAATAATAAATCTGAAAACCCAGAACCTGAAGATTCTCTTCGGTACCGAGCCAAAATAATCTTCCATTTTCTCATTACCTCAGTAGAGTCACAATATAAACTTTGAGCCAACTCTTGAGTGGCGTCGTGTTTTTTGTTTCTGTTTTTATAATCATGGTGACTGGAATCCCATAGAAGAGGATACGTTTCAATTGCCTGAATAAAGTTTATAATCCTATCATTCTTCCAGTCCATTTTAAATTTCGTAAAAGAAGTGCGCGTACAAACAAATGTTTTCAGTCCAGGAGCGGAAGCAATACTGAGTTTGCGAACAACAAGTATGCACCCGCCGACGCGAGGCACTGCTTGCATGTGCTCGCGCGCAAAAGTAACTGATGTTCGCGAACGTTTCCGAAATTTTGCTATTCTTTGCGTGACTAAGTCGACCAGAAGAAACATTTGTGCTGTACACTGTGCATTAGAGTGCCGCACAGTTCAGCACACTGGTGGAATCGCATCTTAACGATCCCAGTTCACGTTTAATAGCCGGGTCACCATGTTACCGCTAGATGGCTGACAATTCTGACTGTAAAGTAGATAAAACCTACTCGCCATTAAATAAACTAAACATGATGCTTTCGTCCATCCGATCAAAAGACAGTCAACCATGGACAACTGTTTCGTGCTTCTTGACTATTCCTACCCAATTAAATACTTTCCGGGTTATGAGGATTAAGTTTTTTGATGGCAGACAGATGGGAATAAGTATGTGATTTTTCGTGGCGTTCAGTTATACTATATGTATATGAGACACATAGAATAATAATGGTCTTGCTGCTCAGATGTGCCAGTAATATCCTAAATGCATGATTATACCATTTTTACATCGAACTATATTCAATTAAAATCGGAATAAGTGTATGTTTTTGCCATCTATTGACCGGAGACTGAAACAAGGAGTTAGATTAGCTTCATACTGATAGATCTAGGTAGATTGGTGAATGGCGCGAATTT